AGAGAGGATGGTGACTGCCACCTGTGCAAACCCGCGGAGTGTTGGGCAATAAGGAAGCAAAAGAAATGACCGAAAAAACCCCAAGGCAGCAACCTCAGGGCGTTGCGTCAGCGCGCTGGGGAGATGCTCTGCAGAGCACTTCCCTCTGCAGTGCAAACCGCCCCACAGCCCGGCCCGGCCAGAAATGTCCCAGCTGGCCTGTCCCCAAAGGAAAGCAGGGAGGGGACACGGTGCTGCGCGCCCCGGCATTGGGAGGCCCTGCGCAGGGTGCACCCTGCAGCGGTGCCGCTGGGCGACTTGCTGGGAGCCCCCGCTGCGATGTGCCAGGCCCAGGGCTGGGACATCTCAGCAGGAGGAGTCCCTCCCTGTTATGCCATGAAATCCTCCAGGGTGGGATCCGTCCCCAGCAGCCTGGGGCCAGGCAAGGTCCTGCTGCTCGCTGCCCGCCGAAGGCTGGGAGGTGGCTGCTGCCGGGGCAGGTCCAGTCCCTGGACACGGAGACACATTGCAGCGCCCGGCGGGGAGGAGATCTGACTAGCGTTGGGTTTCGTTAGAAACCAAAGCCAAGGTTTCAGGGCATTTTAAAGAGGGTATTCAGAGGCAAGCTCAGCCCCGCTTCCCTTGGCCTTGGTGTCTCAGTAGCAGGACTTTTTCCTCAGATAATTCAAGTATGTTTGGAAGAGGGCATTTACGTTCAGGGCAGCTGCGTTTTTTTCCTCCCAAAGACAACGGTGCACAAACCTGGGTGCCAATGGGGCTGTGACATGTGGCATGAGCCCAGCCGTCCCACCACAGGAAAGCTGACAGAGCCAGAAGGCTGCCTGCTCCCCAGGGAGAGGGAGCCCTGCCTCCCGCGGGGTTTGACCTTCCCCGCTCGCCAGGCACCCTCTGTCCCTGGCTGGGACACACGGGTGGATGGAGTCAGCGTTATGACATGTGCTGGGGCTGGATGGAGCCGGGGAATGGCCTTTCGGGTGGGGCCTCGCCTGTGGAGGGGCTCTGGGAGCCTGGCACCAGCTCCGGTGACTTTTCAGAGGCAGCGACACAAAGATGCTCTGGGCGAAAGACCCTGGTTTTCACCACCTTGTAGTTTTTGTGTCGTAAAAACCCCACGCTCCCATCCTGGGGCTGCAGTCCAAGGTTTCCTTGTCTTTCCAACACATCAACCGCTTCCTAAAACGTCTCAGTCCATGTTCTCCAGGAGTTTTTTCCCATTGTTGGCTCTTCATGAGCCCCCATCTGAGTGTGAGATCCCCCAGGTTGTCTTGAGTTGCTCCCACACGCAGGCAGATGGGTTTGCATCCCCGCAGCCCCTCTGGGAGCCTGTCCCCCCCATCCCCTTGTCCCCCAGTCTCTTGGGACACAACCTGGGGGAAAAGCCCCACATGGAGGGGATACGTCTTGCCCCAGCCCTCCCCAACGGTTTGGACACCGCCATGTCCCGCTCTCACTCTGTCTCATCTCACTCAGGGTTAAAAAATGCCTGGCAGGCAGCTGCCTGCTGTGCCAGCGTGAAAGCAGCCCGGTGCCGGAGCTGGCTGCCTGCAGCGCTGCCGTTCCCGGTGCGAACGGCAGAGGCCAGGCCGCGGCCGCGCTCGGCGCCGCTGGGAGGGGGTTGGAAGCTGTTCCCAGCAGCAGCGGAGGATGCTCGGCCTCTGCCATCGCTCAGCGCTCCCTTCCCTCTCACCTCCATCTCACCAGCGTCTGCTGCCCCACTCCCCCGTCCCCGTTGGTGCCACGCCGCGTGTCGCGGCTGTCACCCCTGCCCAGCCCCTGAGGGAGACGGGGCACCCTGGGACCTGGCTTTTGGTGCTTCACGCAAAGATGGGGGAAGTTTTTCCTGTCATCAGGCAAACTGGGAACCCAGGTCTGGTTCTGTGAGGGCAGAGCGGATGGAAAAGCCCCCCCCCAAGCCTTTCCCACCGGCATCACAGTGCTGGTGGCAGCGGTGCCACCCGGCTTGCGGCAGACGGAGCTTGTCACGGCATCCTCACCTGCCCGTCCCCGCTGCTCCCCTGTCCCGGCCATCGAGGGGCTGGGAGATGGGGAGCAGCACCCACCCATGGAGCCCACCCATTCCGTGCTCTGCGGCTGCCCTGTGCTCGGTCACCTTTGCAAACACAGGGATGCTCCTGCTCACCTCAAAGTTCACAGCCTGGGGGGCTGGGGGACCCCAGCTCCCGTCCTCAGAGGCACTGTCACCCCCAGGTCCTGACCGAGCCACCCTAGCAGGGCACAGACCCCTCCAGACACAGATATTAGTGGGAAATTTGTATTTTTACCCCCTTCAAGCGCTGTTTCCTCCCACCCTCCCTCCCTCCTCGGCCAGCCTGCGGTGGGAAAGCATTAAGAAATAAAACAATATCAAATGCAATCAAAGGCAGGCTGGTGGGAGTTTGTCTTTTAGGGTTTCCTTCTCTTTTATTGCTTTCCCAAAGAATAAACATTTGGGAGGGCTCTGGGGTGATTTAGTGGAGCAGGAAAGGGCAGGAGGCCGGGAGCCGCCTGCTCCCTTTGCAAATCTCGCAGGTCTGGCTTTGGGGATTCTCCTTCCAGTAGAAATGACTGCCCAGTCAGAGGATAAGGCTGGGAATCGCCTGGCTTGATGGGGAGGCTGCTTCGCCCCCCGGCACTGGGACTGGGGTCAGCGGGAGCTGCTGGGACAGGGGCCAGGGGGGGAGGAGGAGGGGTTGAAGCGAGTGAATTCACGGCAGCATGGAGGAAGCGGTGACCTTTGAGAAGCAATCTTCCTCACCAGCTGCTATTTATTCAGCCTTCCCAGCGGCTCCTTCTGCCCAGCCCGACCCTGTACACGCAGTCCAGGCTGGGGGATGCTGGGCTGCCCTGGTGCTGAGCCGCAGGCTGCCTCCTGTCCGGGGGTGGTTCTGGTTTGTGAAGCTGAATGCAACGTTTACTGCTGGGACAGCAGCTCTGCAAGAGGCTGAACCTTCCTGCCTGACGGGTGTCC